TAGTTGTCTCTTCAAAATGTTTCAAATGCTCATGATCTCATTCTTTCATGGCTTGTTTTGGCGAAACACTTTCTTTCTTCATCCTGCATGACAAATTTGTATGCTGCTGAATAACACAGACATTTTCTTCCAAATGGAGCAAAACATTACCTCCAAATTCCCAGTTAAAAGGACTTTATTAAACTTTGCTTTTACTGTATGAATGCTGTGTATAATATGTGCATATCTATACAGCATATATAAATATATATCTATAATGTATATATAATCAAGTGGGTCAGCCTTACACAGCTAACCATAAACTTGTGCTTATCTTATTTATATGAGATCAAATGGACGGCATCAAGAATTTGACCAGATTCCAACTTGTAAGATCCTCAGTCCCCAGTTCTACCTCATGATTTTGGATATCACATACAGGTAATGCATTCCTTTCTTTTTTGCAGTAGTATTTTTGTTTGAAGAAAAGAATGCAGGGTTTTTTTTATATAAACAATTAACAGGTTTTTCATAACCTTAAGTTAAAAAAGGTCTCAAGAAGAGATGAGGTTCTTCCTCATACATAGAGCTTGAAGAGTAATTTGACATTCATTGTAGATATATTTACATTATAACCTTATCTGGATAGTATTACACATAATGTATTATTTTGTACACAGTCAAGATATGATGTTGGTCATGTTAAAACACACTATCTAACGGTATTTACAAATTGCTTTAGTAAGCATTTAACTTACCAACCACCTCTGGAAAGTGGCAGCAGAATTAAGGGATAAAGTATAAGAACGTCTGTTGAGTGGCAACCATGGTACTCTCATCAGTGTTTTTATTATTAGTAATACCACTACTACCATGAGGTGCTTCAGGAAAGGGCTGTCTTTGGGCTAGAGGCGTAGAGACAGAGCCTCCCTGAAGCCTACATGAGCTGATGGGTGCAGAAAAACAATTTATCTGTGACTTCCTTCTTCCTTTGCAAGTAAGGGCACACCAAACTTGTCCCCCTGTACTTTCCTCAGTGCTGTCGGGTGAGTCAGTCCAGACATTAAACACTCAGTGAAATCCTTCCTTCCAATGGCTGCTATAACACGGGCTGCAATCACATTGCCTAATGTACCACACAGAGATACTTCTTTCAGAGAGTCAAAGCACTTTGGGACATCTCTTAGAAAACAGTTTCTGTGTACTTCTTTTTTTTTAAAAAAAAAAAAGAAAGAAAAAGAAACTCACTGTAGGAAGATGAAAAGAGTAGTTACCAAATAGCACTTTTTCAGGTAATGCAGAGCTTTGGAAGGCACCAGAATTTGTTTCCCTTTGTTTGAATAATACTCGGATGAAATGTGTGTAGCAAATCTACCCAGTATCCCAAAATATGAGGCCTGGGAGGACTGATACACTTATGTAACACACTGGTTCCACAATGTAGCAAAAGAGGTCAAAGCAAAAGGAGGGAAGTAAAAATATAGCAGAAATAATTGCATTGGTTGTGATAAACGATTCATGTTCAACTCAGCCTTGCTATAATTACACTCTTAGGCTTGGATTGTCAGTAAATGCTAGTAAGCTCAGGAATGAAAGGGAATTCAAGGGAAGGGAGGGCTGCCTTACCATTGCACAGAGCATAAAATTAATCCATGCATGTTGCTACGTGATATTCCACTACAAGAATATTCACTCTTTGACATTATCCGCTGTTGTTTCTAATACAGAGATGACAAAAGTGGGGAACAAAAGAATTGTTTTGGCTTTGTTTCATACGAGGGTTTGTTTTACTTTCGATTTAAAACCCATGCAGAAAGGATTTATGGAACTTCCCACTCCACACAGTAGGCTGGGCTTCAGTGGAAAGGGATTTGCATGCTAGAGAAAGCAGTATTTTGGTGGGGTTAAAGAGGTTGAATACCAGCATTCACAGTGCCTAAAAGAAAAGGCAAACCGTATGCCTATAGCTAAAACACAGGTGACATACTTGTTGAAGTGAAGAAGGAGAAAAGCTTTTTGTCAAGACTGTGACAAAAGAGGAAAGACAGGCAGAGAAAAGAAGCCACAGCAAATTAAAGAGCATCTCTCAGCTTCCTTCAAGGAAAGATTTTCTATAAATTTTTAGAAGAAAAAGGATTTAAAAGTCTAGAGCTTCTCGTGATATACAAAACCAGTAAAAGCGATATTGGACAGAAATTATTCCCATAATACGTGTCCCTAGGCACTGTAAATAGATACAGGGTGAAAGAAAAGTTAACTTCTTTTTAGCTTCTCAATTTCTACCACTTGCAATGCTGTCAGCTGAGAGTACAGAACCATCTAAGAGGGCTTTAAAAATATCAAAGGCTATTAGACTCCAAACTCATTATCTGTCAGCAAATGCCCCCCAGCAACAGCGCCAGCATTTATTTTCCTGCATTTTCTTTCTTAAGACTTTATCTTCTCACAAGAAACACCCAAATTTGTCAAAAAATAAAGATTTTTATAAATTATTTTAAGGGGAGGGAGGAAAAACATCATCATCACTCTTTTCCCCCACCCCCATCCCCCCTTCCTCCAGCTGTGTTCATGCCAGATTTGCAGCAGGATGGCTGTCAGGATGCTTTACCTATTTGGTCCTGCTAGGCTGGTACCCCGAGCAGTTTTGGGGAACAGAAGTAGCAAGGGGAGGTGCTGTCAGTTGAAGTAAAAAATTCAAAGTATGCCCCCTCAGCACCACAGGAGAAAATGGGAGCTGTATACCAAGGCAATATTCATCCATAGGAATATCGCATCTATGGCAATGAAGGGATTAAAATCAGTCAAAACTGGGGAAAGGGCAACGATTTTACTAACAAGGCCCACTGCAAGGCAGACAGATGGACACATTCAAATCCATGAGGGGACAAAACCAAAAATTGTCCCTCCCCTCCTTCTCCTGTCCCATCTGGGATGGCCAGGAGTAGCTGGGCCGCCCCAAGGGTTTCTTCACTGGTGTGTGGCCTGTTCTCACCACAGACACACTTAATAAAGGCACCTCTTCTTGACAATATGCTTTTCTCCACCATAAGAGTATAAAACAAAGGACTGATAGATTAAGCACTTGCTTTTTTCCCTTTCATGCTTTGTGAATGCCAAACAACCGATCCCTGGGGTCCGTTTGAGCACTCCCATCCCCGTGAGCATTTGTAAGACAAAAAAGAAAGAAAGAAAGAAAGAAAGAAAGAAAAAGCAATCTGACCTGTACAGATATGTTTGTTGCATCTGGACTATTTTTCATCAGGCAACATTGAAATACTTTGCTATCTTTGAATGGACCCTATGATTCCTAGTAAATCAAATGAAAAATCCCAAATAGAAAGAACACTGACAGAATTTTTTCTTAGATTTTGTTCTCACTGGAAAACAGATTTTTTTATATTACTTCAGTTTTTTCTTTCTTTCTCTTTCTTTCTTTTTCTTTCTTTTTTTTTCTTTCTTTTTCTTTCTTTCTTTCTCTTTCTTTCTTTCCTTCTTTCTTTCCTTCCTTCCTTCTTTCTTTCTTTCCTTCTTTCTTTCTTTCTTTCTTTCTTTCTTTCTTTCTTTCCCTTCTTTTCTTTCCATTCTTTCCTTCTTTTCCACTGAACTGATATATCTTCAGGCTGCTGTTCTCCTGGAGAGTGAAGATAGGGCTGGCCTGTGACAGTACAAGCCACTCCCCATGGGTTGCCAATGGGACAGATCCTGCTGCATCAGGGTTAATGTCAAGGGTTGACTGGAACTTTTAAGTTTTGGCCTCTTTCTGGAAATAGTAAATAGGAAAAAAAGAGGGGGCAAGAAGCTCTAGCTGCAGGTTTTTTGTTGTTGGTTGTCATTTTGTGGTGGGGTTTTTGTTTGTTTGATTGATTGTTTTTTTTTCTCTTGAATCAAGTGCACAGTTTGCTTCATTTCTATGTGAAACAAAAGTCGCCAGTGCAACACATGATGTGGATGCACCACTGGAATGTTCTGGCCAAACCCAAGGTGAAGATGCAGCAGTTCCTGTAGAAGGGCACCTGGGGCCTCGAGGCCAATGGTGTGCAGATGACAGCCAGGGGAGCTGGAGAAGTTACCCAGGGAGAGCTGCTCTTCAAGACTGACATCTAGATCTCGCAGAACTATCGCTCAGAAGGGAAGCGAAACCTGGTGAATGTGGTTTGGACACAAAGGAAAGACATGAGAGCTCAAAGGATATTGAAAAGAACAAATTATATCGTGACTCTGAACAATTATCACATTTTTATCTTACTGAGCCACAACCAGCTGAAGACTCCAGAAGTTCCCAGTATCTCAGGGCAGACTCTGCCTCTTCTCTGCCTTCAGGAGGGGGTAAAGAGTATGAGCACACAAACAAGATCTCATGCAATATTTTGAATATTAGATTATATTTTCCATGTATATAAATTATGTTGGGGTGTGTGTTTGCGTGCCTGTGGATACATACATAGATGTATTCTGTCATCTATTTTTACATTGTTTTATTGTTTGCAAATGTGGATGTGCCATGAAACTGTTACAAGGTGGAAACACAGAGGATTGTGTGACCTGCAAGTTTTTAAATATACTATAATACAAATCAAAGCATTTTGTCTTTTAGGATCATAAGTGGGGATCATGCAAAGTAAAAGTGTCAGAAAGCTTCAAACTGATGGGTTTTGTTTGCTTGTTTGTTTCATGAAGGCTGGCCCCAAAACAGTTTTTTCCCTGTGGTATTGAGTGTCATCACATGATGAAGAGGTATAATTGTAATGTATATCTTACACTTCTTAACCTGTAGAGGTGTCCTTAGCTGCTAGATTAATTCATTATGAGCAAGTGACAGCTTCAAATGGGAGAATAAAGGATTTGCACACCTGCCAGAAAAATGGAGTTAAAAGATTAAATAAGATTATACAAACCAATATTTCTTAATTTGAGTACCTGTACTATTGATACCCACAACACTTGCTTAAAGAAAGAAGCAGGTGTGTTTCTTTTTGGAAACTTTTCCAAAGAAGTCAGATTTAGAAATCAAACAGTTTTCATTTTATCTTTGTTTTTTATTTGGATTTTTTTAACATTGTAAGAGAATGAATAACCTAGACATGATAGTTTAAGTCTTTCCTTTGACCTGTCAAGATAAACCTAATGAATGTAGTTTTGAAAGGCAAGTAGAAAGCTTTTTCATTGAGTTATTCTTCCTTACAAGCAGGAAGATGAAAATAGTGATAGTAAACGTGACTCAAGGCAAGTGAGGGTTGCAAAATTAGATCCTTGGGCTATATGGAGACACTTAGTTATACTAGGATGAAATCACTAGAGGTATAAAATCAATGACTGCATACTAAGACACATTAATCCCGAGTTTAGCATGGCCTTAATTTACTGCGGTTTAATCCTCCTCATTTTCACTTTCTGCTGGGAACTTGTACTACAAAACATGAAAATTGTCATATTGCCAAAGTGCTTTGACACTGTGTTCCAATAAGCTTGTCAAATGCAAAACTTAAATCTGTAAGATTAATTGCTCTGTAATCTTGGAGGCTGCTGTTTTGAAATGCATTTTGGAAGACTTTAATGTGGTAGCATGAAATAATAGAATGATTTGGTGTCTTATTTGGTGGGTGGCTTTCACTCCTGAAGACAGACTCTCAGGACACTGACCATGTTTTTTGAGTAACAAAATCTGTAAATATACCTTCACTAGTGCCTGGAAGTTAGTTACTAAGAAGGAGGTAAAAGGCAATTTAGATAACACCTTTTCCAGAAAGTAACATCTTCTCCAGGATACATCCAGGAAGGACCTCAGTCTCACACTAAGCGCTTAGCCAGAACTTGGACACTGTGGGTATATCACTCTTTTTCTTTTCCTCAGTATATTCATCATAATCATCTTTTGATGGGTCAAGAACATGGTGATCTAATATTATCTATTCATTCTGTGAAGCCTCAACATACCTCTTAATTGGTACATCCAACTTTAAAAGGACGTAAGCTCCATTTTCCTAGTAACAACCTCTTTTCTATTCTTCAGCTGAGACCCTTTGTCTGACCACCATGGTGGCTGATTGTATGAGACCTTTGAATTTACAACTTTTGATATTCAGTCTTTGTGCCCTGGACAAGTAAGGTGCAAACAGGAAGAAAGGGCTGATGGAGGTAAAAGACAAATCCACACGTTGATATTATGTGACAAACAAAGTGAACAGAATTGTCTCAAAAGCTTTGGTTTACATGGATGCTGAAGTAGTCTTGGGATGTAGCAATCTGGACGAGACCACATCGTTGCACTTTCATCCTGACATGATGAAGTAGTCACAGAACAAAAGCCTGTAGAATGGGACAAGCTGCAGACTTTGAATGATATACAAGTTAGGCAATGATTACGTGTTGAGCATAAGTACACTTGCAGAATTGATGCAGTTTTGGAAATGATGGTGTCATAAACAACATAACTTTCATCACGATGTACCCAACATCAAGCTTCTTACATGACAGTGGCAAAAAACTGTTAGACAACTTTAAACTTTAGAAAATTTCTGCCATGATGCATTTGGATTATGCAATGATCTTCTATATTCCTATGCTTCTTCCACACAGTTATTATTAAAATTCCTCTTTTTTTTTTCCCTAGATGAAGATGTGTTAAACGGATACAGGGGAAAAGAAAAATAAAAAGGAAAGAAAAAAGAAGAACAAGTATTTTACATAGAATGACCAAAAATCGTAGACTCTAAAGCCCTTCTGCAGAATACTCTCAGAAAGTAAGGAACTATGCCTCCAGTTCACATCCTTGAACAATTTCTCAAACATCCCCACGTCCTAAAGATTTGTTTTCAATTATTAAAAAAATGCTTTCAAGTGTAGTTCTCAGGGGTAGAGCTGATGCCCTGTGTCAGTATTTCCACTAGCATCCTGGATTGCACATTCCATAGAAGAGCATAAAGTGCTGTAGCATCATGGGTTTTTAACTTAATTTAGAACTTCTTTACCCTTTCCATAATTATTTTTATTTTTACCTTGTAGCTCCTATATTCTTGTAATGACACATAAGAAGGTGCTTAAAGGTCTTCTTGAAGGTAGCATTGCAGAGCGCATAACAAGCAGGGTTGATGGTGCTGTTGATATAACAGAGCCAGTAGCCTATGGTCCATACAGTGTTAGGGATGCAGGATGTACAGAAGCTGTTGATGAGCACCATCACATTGTATGGGGTCCAGGTGATGATGAAGGCCAGAAGGATGGCTAAAATAGTCCTTGTCACTTTTTTCTCTCTAGAGGGGGGTGGTTTCTTTTTGGCTGGCTGCTTTGTCATCTTGACTATTTTCCGGGCTACACTATTCTGCTTCTCCTCCCCATTCGTGCCTACGATCTCCACGGTGGTGTTGGTAGGGGCACAGCAGTCTCCCTTTGGGGACTTTGTGACTATCCTGATGCATGTCAGCTTGGAGTTCTCTGCTTTGAGATGGTCTTGGGAGGCAGAAGCCTGTCTGGCATCTTTGGTAGCTTCATCCTCTTTCAAGTTGGAAGCGACCACACTGACAGAGGTGGAGTCATTGGAGCTCTCCTTCTCTGCTTGAACACAGTTATCAGTCACAGTCTCCTCACTGGGTTTTCCATTCTGAATTTTGCTGTGCTCCAACCCGTCTCCGCTGGTCGGGATGTTGTTATTGTTTGGTTTCACTATTTTACCTTGGACAAGGCTTGGGGAAACTGTATCTTGGTTTTGTGCAGCTTCCTTTTTCGCCTTCTTTATCCTACTCTTACTGGCTCGAGAGATTTGCCAGTAAAGGACAGTCATGATGATAACAGGCAAATAGAAGGCTGCAATGGCAGTGCCAAAAGTGACAGCAGGGTTGGAAAAAAACTGGATGTAGCAGTCCCCATCTGGGACAGTCCTTCCTCCCACAATGAATTGCCAGAAGAGAATTGCAGGGGCCCAAAGGATGAAGGACAGAACCCAGGCAGCTGCAATCATCATGCCTGCCATCTTAGTGGTCCGCTTCACAGGGTACGTCAGAGGCTTGGTGACACAAAAGTATCTGTCAAAGCTGATAATGAGGAGGTTCATTACAGAGGCATTGCTGGCCACGTAGTCGAGAGCCAGCCAGAGGTCACACACCACAGGCCCCAAGGGCCAGTAGCCTATCACAGTGTAGAGGGTGTACAGGTTCATTGAAAAGATGCCGATGATCAAGTCAGCGCAGGCCAAACTGAACAGGAAATAGTTGTTCACAGTCTGGAGGTGCCTGTTGACTTTGATCGACACCATGACCAGGATGTTCCCAATTATGGTGACTAGACTGAGAGACCCTGCTACCAGGACGATGAAGACCACCTCAACAGTTTTATAGGGGCTTTCCAAAGCCATCACATTTTCAGTGGAAGAGTTTATGTACGTTGAGTTATTCATTTCTGTTCTGCTAACAAGATACCCAGTTATCACTTAAACCTGCAGAGAAAGAAAAGAAAACAGTTACCATCAGGAAATTAGTCTCTTTGACTTTAAGAAATGGATCCCAGAAGAACTACTTGGAAAGAGTTTAAAGATAGAAGATGTATTCAGAAAAGCCAGTCAGCTTTGGCTAATGAAAACACTTTACAACATATAATATCCATTTATGAATCACATAACATTGGGCTGCCTCTAAATAGGTAAGAAAGACACACATTTGAAGCTAAACCTGTATTTTTAAGTTCTCAGATGATTTTTTTCCTCTTTATTCTTTTTTAAAGCTAATATTGACTTGAATATTTTGGAATTCAATCTGCATATTGTTTTCTTTCTTACTGACTGTTCGTTTCAAACTCTAATCCAAATAAAAAAGTCCAGACCTGAGGGTATGACATTCTTATAAGCCAGAGTAATGCTGTGATTTATTGGGAGCCAGATCACACGAAGGCAACTTCTGTTTCCATCTTTCCTTCATGTTCCACTTGGGCACGCTTCTGTGAGATTTATGGAACAAGTAAGCTTGTGTCATGTCTCCCTCTAATTTTCTGACCCTGCAGTCCCTTTTTTTGGTCAATACATACAAAGATTTTGGCCCTGCATGAAACTAATTAGTCTGTCAAGAAACAAAAAAAGGAAGGCCTGTTGAAGTCAACAGAATAAGTAAACTCACCTCAGCTGAGCATCTGACTATCTAGTTAGACACATACATTTTTTATTTTTTTTTTTCAATTTCAGTGAGATTAAAGTTATTTTTTACATACTTTTGAGTATTTGTACCTGAAAAAGGCATTGTTGCTTTTTGATTTTTTAAAAAATGATGAGATTATTCTTGTTAGATGCTTGCTTGATGCTTTCTTACTTGTACTATTCTCATTATTTTTCAAATCACAATGTTTTTAATCTGTATCACATGAAGCTACAACAAAAGGTCTATGGAAATGGATAACAGGGTAATGGTAAATAAAGAAAAAGATAAAAATCAGTTCTATTTATACACAGAATTCTTTTTGTGCCCTGCATAGCCTACCAGCAGTACTCAATAAATTATAATTAAACTACTAGCAATATATGTTTGATAGAAGACTAAGAAAATAGCACATGCTTTTGCCTTCAGGATATGTACTATCCTTTTGTGCATCTCCTGGAAGTCAATAGAATGCACTGGAATTGTACAGCCCGTCTCTGAGCGCTCATTATTTATGAGCTGTGCTCAAGGGATTATTGAGGCATAAAGGCCAGATGTGACAGAGAAGTTAGATTTTTTCCATTACAGTATTCTCCTTTTTTCCCCCAACCATAAGGCATCACTTTTTAAAAAAAGAGCTTCTAGACATGGTGGTACAATTGAAGGAAGACAAAAAAATCACTTAGGTTGGCTCCTTTATACACCCAGGGTTAAAGAACTCTCTTCTGGTCCCTCTGACTAGCCTGCTGATGCACAGACATGTGCAGTCCATGTCACTCCAAAGGAGCAATGCATTTTTACTGCCATTTCAGAACTGTGGTTTGGTTGTTTCATTGGGGTTTTTTTGAGATGCAAAAGAAAGAAGATGATGCAAAATGTCAACATAGCGGCAAAAACCCTTCTGACCTCCCAGGAAAATAAGCAAGACTGTCTCCACGGAAAAGTCAAAACGCTATACCAGGGTAAAGGTTTTCTGTCTGTAATCTTGTAATTTATACATAAAGAAATACAACTGGCGGAATGTGGGACTCATGCATTTGCCTTTGCTTTCAAAAACAGCTAAGATTTGTTTGTCAATTCCATGTTGAAGTGAATAGAGGAACATGAGGCTACACATACATTTTTTTTCTGCTATCTATTCACAGGTATATCCCTAAAATCCTTGGGATCAGGGTCAAGAGGACAAAACAGGAAAGAGGAATTCTTCAATTAAATCTGTGCTTTGTACAGTAAGAATAAGCTGAATGGAATGTAACAAAATTTATACTCTGTGCAAAAAAATAGACAGGACACCTATAATATATAGGACTGTCGTTTCAGCACTTCGTAGTGTATTTTTCTCCCAGAGCTTCACAAATGAGCAGCTGGTTATCCTGTTAGATGTGTCAGATATCAATTTTTGGGACAAGCTGAGAACTTCTCCCAACCAGATTTGTTTATGAACTTTCTTAACAGAATGCATTTTTAATGAAAAAAAAAAAAGGAAAACAAAATAGCACATAGAAATGTACTGATTTAAAAAAAAATGCAGCTGGAAAGCCTTTGTGATCCAGGGCTCTGCAGCTACCTCTGGTGACAGAGAGTGAGTGGGGGAGCAAAATGGAAATAAGTGAGATAGGATCAGAGCTGAAAAAATTGTGCTTTATGATAGAAAACAAGTGTTTCTCTTCAATTTATTTTTGACAAAATGTTCTGAAGTTCATTTCATTCCACTGAAAAACAATAATTTGTTTTAGAAACTGGAAACTTGTGAAACCAAATTACCATCTCTCAGCTAACTTTATTCCTAGGTCTTTTCAGGTGAAATTTTTACCCACTTGCACTGGAAATATTCGTAATTCAATATAAGTTCTCCTGATTTTATTATCTGGGATGTGAGGAGTGGGATGAAAGCTAAAGGCTAATTTTACTTGCTGGGAATAGGAATTCAGTGTGTTAATGTGAATGGAAGCAAAGCAGAGGAGTCCCTTGCCCAGTGATCTCTAGTTGCACAAAACTTTCCTGCCGTAAGAAGGCTGCTAGTTCTGGACTGCAAATTACATTGACAATTACAGATTTCTTAGGTATGGAAAAACATATCTGCTATTGCTAACTCCAGAAAAAACTTCCTTTGCTTGCATCAATACCATTGTAAAGTGACCCATGTTTTGCTGTCTATCTTGATGAGAAAGCAAAGGACTGGAGAGAAACATTCACTTTCAACTGACATTTATTGTTGCTACCGATAGTACCACCCTTACTGGAGCAGAGACAGCGGTGTGCATCGTGTTTCCTAACTCAAGACACCCTGAAATCTTCTGGACTCTTTCCTGTTGGCTCCAGCAGGACTTGAATCAGGCACGTAGAGAGGCTTCTGTTTCTTATTGTGGTCGCTTGCTGCCTTGGTAGAGGACTGCCTGTGGACTGCTTTTGGTTTTTGTCATGCCACAGAGCCCATCTCTCCTGCTGGAGAGGCAGTTGTTATGGCAGCAGATGTTATTCATCAGGCAGAGCTACGGGGCAGAGGCACTTCAAGGTAATATGACCTCCTGCATGAGAAATACCAGATCTTATTCTTGAACAAACAGAGCTCTCCTCTGCAAGCCCATGGGTGTTTGTGTGAGTTGCACAATATGGCACTGACTCCCATGGGCTTCTATAATTTATCCTGCTATACTAAGTGTATTCTTGCTAAACAGAGAATACCCAGAAAAGGCAAGGAATGTCTCTTGTGACCTGAAAACCAACCAAGTTCATTTTCTGAAACATATTTCAAAATATATATGACTCTGTGGAATGGAAACACCATAATCACCACATGGAAAATGTTCAAAGCCAAGAAATCCACATATAAAATAATTCATTGTTTTATATTTGATATGTACTTGGGAAACATTTCCAGGGCAGTTGTTTCTCCCTCTAAAGAATTAATAGGACTGAGAATCATTCCCATCTTTTGACTAGGTGATGGTTTGGGGCAGAACTGGGGGATTTGGTAGACGATATGGTACATACACTATTGGCCTGATGTGACCCCGGGTCTTTTTGCGGTGAACAGTTGACAGGAAGAAGCAGAGCACATGTGGGTTGACTTGGACCCCCAATACCACCCACTAGGAGAAACCTAGTCCAGGCTGACACACGCTGAAGTAAATCTTCTAGAGCATACTGGCAGCCACACTATGCCTTGTTTTCCTTCATTTACCTCCCCAGCAGTTGTGTTAAACAGAGAAACAGGTCTGATGAGTGAAGTCTTTAAGCTGGTTCACTGTAAAATGGAACTGCAGCAAGTGTGAGGAAATAACAAGTTGCTGTTGAGGGTGTTCATCCTATTCTGTTGCAGGCACTGAGGAGGAGGCCAGCAGAAATGGCAGGTCAAGGAGAAGAGACAAGGATTGCATATCACCCTTAGGATCATGATCTTCAAAGAGCAGGTACTTAAATACTACATCCTGCTGGATGTGCTTTCTACTTACCCTGACAGGAACGCATCTATTTGGTGCAGGTGAATCTTATACCAATCACTGTAATTTTAAATTTAAAATATATCTTCAACATCTGTCACAAAAGAGACTATAGAAATGTTGTGTATATTGAAAAAAGTGGCTGATACACCATGCCTGTCAAAGTCTGTTAGACAAACCTTCCTCTGTATTGCCCATATTGACAAGTTAAATTTGGTAAGGTAAGTTCTTCTCTGAACTCTCTGAAATTATATGAAGGTCAAGACATGAAAGAGGCAACTAATGATCTGTACCTGAAAGTTATTTTTGTGATTTAAATGGCATTACCCAGGAATCTCTGTCTTTCCACTGTGAGCACTTTTCAACATCCAACTCTCAAGCAAAAGTAAGATACACTTTAACTTCCCCTCTTTGATCTAGTTCCTCTTCAGCAAAAACCTATGTAAAATGGATTTGATTTTTGCTCTAGCAATAGTAGATCTTTTTTCCTGAACTGATTTTTGTCCTGAACTGCATTGGGGTTTTGATTCTAAATTTCTTCCTGCCACCATTTAAACCCACAGTGTGAAAGTGAAAAGAGAGAAACAAAATCCCTAAGCCTGCAAAAAATATCCTAAATCCATTAGTCAGAATTTGTTATGGACTTTAAGAGGGAATATAGATAGAATCTAGGCTTTTGGTAAAAATACACTTCAGAAAATTTCCAAATACCTGAAGACTAAAATCTTCACCACATGGATTACTTTCTGCAATCCTTTGAAACTAGAAACATCTTTGCAAATTGTTAGTGTCTCAGTATAGTCCATTCTCTTTATTTTCATGCATTTTTGTTTATCTCAGTCAACAGATTTCCTACAAAAAAGATATCC